AGGACTTCACTGAGCCGGCCCTCGAGTTGGGCCAAGCGTGTTGCCTGGTTTTTCAGGGATTCCAGCAACCCTTTTAGTCCAATCAGCAACTCATCACGCTGGATTTGAAGAGCAGCCAGTCTCTCTTCTTGACTTCGGAGCTCTAGAGTGAGGTTGAAGAAGTCCTGATCAGGATCGGCTGTCATTTTCTCAGTCTGGTGGCAGTTCTCCCTTAACTTTCTTTCCATTGAAGTCAGGCGACCCATCAGGCGCTTATTTTTCTTCTCAAGCTTCCTGTTTGTCTCCCTGTGGTGACAGTGTGAGAAAATATTTGATTAAGTATTCTTGTGTTCTTGCTTCTCAAATCCAGCTTTTAGTATCAGACTAAAGCTGAACTGCTACATTTTATTATGTATGGCATGTAAATAGCCGAATGACCTGAAAAATGACAGTTCAAAACTAATATTACTTTTCATATAGCGGGCCTCAGTGCAGCCCTTCAAGTCTCCCTGAACAGAACATTTACCACTGGTTGCTCTGACCTGAGATCCTCTATCTCCTGTGTTGTGCTTTGCTTTAGGTGTTCCAGGTCCTGTGATACATGGTGGTAATGGTCATTCAGGGCTTGAACACGCCGCTTTAGCGCCTGCAAGGAACTCCTGTTTTGGTTCAGGTCCAGCATGTTCAAACGGGTTTGAGTCAAAGCCTGGAACTGTTGGAACTATCAGGGAAAAAACGTTTTCATGAGTCTTTCTGCAGATGTTTGCTCACTGACCTCAAGGTCAGGAAAATACTGAAAATCTCCAGTAAATACTGAAAAACACGTGTCACATGGTCGTGATGACTGATCATTGGGTGCTGCAAGAGATTTTCCATCATTTCAGTGCTTTTACAGCATGACTAATAACATGTATGACAGCAGAAGAGAAACAGTATTGCGAAACAGATATTCAACTTTAATCTGATAGCGTCACATAAAAAGCAAACAAACTAATAAAAAACAAATGTTTGTGTTTCTTTTTTAACCCTCTCGTCCATTTATTCAACAACATTCAACTGAGCAGCAGATTGCTGCTCGGTCCTGAGCCTGGTTCTGTTTCTTTCTTAAAGGGGAGTTTTTCCTTCCCGCTGTTACCAAGTTCTTGCACATAAGTGGTCATCTGTGTTATTTTAGGGTCTTTACCTTGCACTATACAGTAAAGCACCTTGAGGTGACTGTTGCTGTGATGCTGAGTCATTCCTGTACAAAAATGTCAAATTCCACAATGATGCTTTTTGATGCTGCAATGAAAGAAATGCCAAAACTAACATGGAAGAACATTTGTTCAAGTGAGGTCAAGTGAGGTGTTATTTTTATTTTGATTTATTTTTGGTCATATGGCTGTAGTCCTATATTTCAAACCAAACTTTTTTGGATCAGCTGAAAATTATGATGATTTTCAGATTGTGTGGAGACCTCCCCATGGGCCCAGCTCCTTTACCTTCAGAACAGCCCTGATTCTTTGAAAACAAGAACATTTTTGGCAATATTGAAATGATAGTACCACAGTTTTTGTGACTAGTGAACAGGGATGGATTTGAGTTAGCATAGGATATAACTAGCACATAAAAAGTCATTTAAAATAAGCCGCATGCATGCAAAGGCAAGTAAAAATGTGAGTTTATGATACTGCAATAACTACTACTGTATATTATTTGCAATATAGGTAATAAGAGACTGACCTGGTCATTAAGTCGTTGGAGTTTCTGGGAAACTGGATCAAATCCCTGCACCTTTACAGTCTGAAGCTGCAGCAGAAGTGTGTAAACCAGGACCTGCATCCAGATGCCCACCACGAAGCTGCGCATGGTGCTGGGCAGTGGAGCAAGGATAGATGCAAGCTGTCGGTCTTTGTCTGGGAATGTGTAGTTGAAGGAGAAGAGAACGGCATAGCTGAAAAGGGTTGGTCTTGAAACACACTATGTGAAAACAACACTTTCCACAAAATCACTGGGGAGCTGGGAGGAAATGCAGATGGCTTCAGCAGGTGCTCTGCTTCTGTCTTTCTCCCTCTTTCACTGTCAAATACAAATTAACAAACACAAAAGAGAAATGAAGTGCCCGTAATAATCGGATACACAATATTTATTAAGTGTGTTATTATGAAAGCACATTTATTTTTATTTAAAGTGCTGGAAATGGTCATTCAGCTTTGGATATGAAGTTTAGATTTATTAAAAGCTTTCACAAACTTCCTCAAAACACAGCAATCTGAAAATATATTTTCATAAAAACAGATTTCGGTTAACTGAAGTAAGTTCGCAGGCTTTTATGTGTGAACTGTGTATGTGGCTGTAAAACTCCTGATGTGTGGGCTGAGGGAGAAGCAGCTTGTACTTTCTTCTTCCCCCTTGATTCTGCTGGGGGGATCTGGCTCTCTTCATCTTCTGCTTTTTGTGCAAATGACCCAATCCAGGAATCCTTTTGCAGAGCCCTCCCTTCTGCTTTAATTCTTATGACTCAGTTGCAACACTGCAGCTTCAATCTGCAGTGCTAAACATGGACAATCTCATTGCATTGATGCCAATATGTTACTTTAAATACACGCTCATGTTAAAGTGAAGTGTTCCATCAAAAGTTACACTGTTTTCCACATGTGAAAGTCTAGTGCAAACAGAGGTTTTACTTTCGCTTTCATTCTGACCTCCCACAAGTCCCACATGCAGCGTCAGTGCCTTTGTCATTTCATTGTCTCACCCTGGAAAGCCCTACACAGCTCGTTGTCCACCAGAAAATTGAGATAATGCTTAGATCAGACTAGATGCTGTGCCGTACTCTTTTTTAAACAAACTTGGCTGTACTTTTATTCAGCCCTTTTTGGTTTTTGGTTTTTAGTTGTTTTTTAAGTCCTTTGTTGAAAGCTGTGCAGTGTATTTTGGCACACTGTGATAACGTTTTATCACACAGTGCTTTTGTGGATTTTTGTATCTGTTTTTTCTTTCTTTTAAACAACAACTTCAGTTTCTTTCGTGCGGAGCATCATCAACGGTCAGAATCTCAAGTCCGGTTATAAAAACCTCCCATAAAGGAAACATGGATGAAGTGACTCCACTGCTGCCAAGACAATCAACATCCAAGGTCTGAGCTCACTGATTGTCATTTAAAATCCTATAAGCTTAAAAGATTTAATGCAGAAATAAGATCATGTCTACATCGCTTTGTTTATGGTCTAACTCATTTCTCATTTCAGACAGACAGTGATTTTAAGCTGTGTTTATAGTGTGGGTGTCGAGCTGTTTTAAACTCTGAGTTTATGCAAATTATGTGAATAAAATAACCGTTCAATGCAGCAGCTGAATGGAGATGTCTATCTGCAGCCTGACGGTTAACAGTCCAAATCTTTCTTTGTTTGAAAGTTGACATGTGTGAAAAATAAAAAGCATGATTTATTTTACAGTGTGATTCAAAACTCTGATGATAAATGAAAACTTGGCCTGAGTGAAAGAAATCCCACCTGTTACTATACTGATTTAACTTTCAGTGAGAAACACAAACATCCCATCCTCTGACTTTGATTTGTTCATTGCTGAAATGTTGATTTTCTCCATTCCAAGCAAACCGTTCATAGCTTTGCTTAGTCTGACTGCAGTGTTGCATTTTAGGATGACCTCAACAGGAAAATGAAACAGAAGTCAAGAAGCTTGTGAACTCCAGACAACTTGCTTTATGTCACTTTCTTAACTGATTACTCAAGAATATTTCAGTTAAGGGTGAATCCAGAGTGTCTTGTCCACTTCTGGAAAACACCACAGAACTTTTCTTAACTAAGTAATCACCTGATAATTTTAATGTATTTGTTCAACTGGTTTGATTACTTTTTGCTTTTTACATTTTTCTGTGCGTGACTTCTCGTCTGTAAGTTAACTCCTTTCAACACTTCCCACCTCCCTTTTCTGTCATGCACGGCTAATGCAAACATGATTGCACACTTGAATAGAGCAGGTGCAGAAAGATGGGTTTTGTCACATTTTTGTATGGCAGGGGCCTGATTGATGATAACTGAATACCAAAGCTTTCGTTTTCTGCTTTTCAACCCTTTTGTTTCATGTGGTAACTCCCAAAAACCCCAGCTGAGTTGCAACTCTTACTGGTATGTGACTTTTAATTAACAAAACTGCTTCACATAGGTTTGTTTCCTATACCTAAACTCCTTCCATCGGTATTTTGTGAGACGCTCAATCTAAAATAGTTTCCACAATACTGCTTTTTAGTTATTCTACAGTCAATAGAAGAACTGTCACCAGTCATGCAGGCAATAATCTCATCCTTAATTTATCTTTGAAACTCAAAACATCAACCAAGCAAATATAGTTTTTAAATATTAGATATACTTTTCATTATTCATTATTATTTATATTAATATTATATTATTTTTACTATTATATATAATCCCCCCCCCCTTATATCTACTTTCTGGACAACATGCTGATTTTTAAATTAGTTGAGATCACAAACCTCTCGTACACTTCCACACCTGTCATTGATTCACTGAACATCCAGATCAGTTTCAACTCTATATGTGCAGTTGATCTTGTGTTTGAACGTGTCCACTCCTCTTTGTCTTAGATTAAAAACTCTGGACTGTACCTGGCCGCATTTGCAGCGGTCCTGGGGAACTTCAACTCTGGTTACTCCCTTGTCTACCCGTCTCCCGTGCTGCCATATTTCCAGAGTCCCGACGCCGACCCTCGGCTCAGGATGAACACCGAGCAGGCCGCCTGGTTCGGATCTATCTACTCCCTAGGTGCTGCAGCCGGGGGGCTAGGGGCCATACTGCTCAACGACATGATTGGACGAAAGCTGAGTATAATGATGTCGGCGTTGCCCTCAACTATCGGGTTGGTCTCAGTCACAGCATACACAACATGAAGCCCTCTTCAACACTTTTAACAGACAGATTTGCATAGAATAGAATAGAAAAAATAGAAATGCTCTGTTATCATAGTACACATACAACAAAATTGTGAGTGCTCCACACAAACTGTGCAGGAATAAAATATAAATAGTGAAATAGTGACAGCAGAACAAGAGGAAGATTATAGCATATATTATAACATCGGTAATATTGTGTAAGCAGATCATTTATTTCTAAATTCTGTACTTTGATGCTATGACATACCAACTTTAAACATTTGAAAACCTGAAATACCACTGAAAGCACATAATGCACTAAACTGGGAAACACAACATCATTACTCTTAGAACTTAATTTGGTGTGTTTAAAAGCATGTACGACTGTGTGGAAACACTAAGTACGCTGTTACTAAATGAATTAATCAAATGGACTTGATTAGTTGATAAATATCAGATTGGAATAATAATAATAATAATACATTTTATTTATAGGTGCCTTTCAGACCCTCAAGGTCACCTTACAGTAACATGTAAACAATACCATAAAAAACATAGGAAAAATGTATATATAGCAAACATGGTAGATAAAATTTAGACATAAACAGTCATAAAAGTATAAAAACAAATATAAAAACTGAGCAACGTAAAAATGGCCTGAGACAGATCAGGTGTATGCAATTTTAAATAGATGAGTTTTGAGATGTGATTTAAAAGTGGTGAGACAGTGTTTGGTCCGGAGATCTAGTGGGAGTGCATCCAAAGTCTCGGGGCAGAACAACTAAAGGCTCTGAGTCCAATGGTAGTCAGGCGAGCAGGTGGAACAGACAGAAGGGAAGCTGAAGAAGAGCGGAGTGTACGAAGGGGCGAGTATGTATGGAGAAGATCGGATAGATATGGAGGAGCAAGGTTATGAAGTGCTTTGAAAGTGAGAAGCAGGATCTTGAAATTGACACGGAGGTGAATTGGGAGCCAATGGAGCTGTTTAAGAACAGGTGTTATATGTTCAGTGGATCTAGTTCTGGAAATAATACGAGCAGCTGTATTTTGAACTAACTGCAATTTATGGAGGGATTTATGAGGTAAACCATAGAGAAGAGAATTACAGTAATCCAGACGAGATGTGACAAGAGCATTGACAAGTATGGCGGTACTGTGTGGTGTGAGTGAGGGACGAAGACGGTTAACATTACAAAGATGAAAGATTGGAACACCTCTATGAAAGCAGAAGAAGAAGAACACAATGCCACAACCATCCCCGGAGTGAATGTCTCAGCAGATTAACTCCACTGCTCAGAGAAACTGCAAAAAACCCAAGAGCTAAACCTCAGACAGGCCTCAGTCAGCATGTTAAATAAGCAAGGCTGAAAAATTATGGCTTATTTGGAAGGATTGCCTGGAGTAATCTTCTTGTCTTGGCAGCATTGCTTAGGTCTGCTAAGTTGCACCTGGTGATGTCTTTCATGAATATTACACTGTAGATTATTTATTTTTGAATGAATAAACTGTGTATGTGTGTCTCAGGTACATGCTGATGGGAGGAGCTATAAACTTGTCCATGCTCCAGGTGGGCCGTTTCCTAAATGGCGTTGCCGCGGGGATGACTGCAGCATCCATTCCTGTAGGTAACCATGGTTATATAAGCTTAAAAAAACCTATTTATAATTTTTTGTATTCTCTGAGTCCCTAATACGTATATGGATACCTGACTACAGCATCCTATAAAAATGTTGACAAAAGTGTTCAGTGCTCTCAGAAAAGTATTAAGAGATTGCAGTTAATTCATCCAGTTTTAAAAACACTGCATTAAAACTAGATAGACAGTCACTTCTTACTAAAATGAATAAGTCATGTGTGAGAAAGCATGAACATAGTTTGTCTAACATGTCCCTCATTAATGGGATAAGCTACACCATTGGTTACTTTTATGACAAGTGCAGAACTGAAAAGACAAGTGAGCTTAAAGTAAATTTGCATCATCAGAGCAACCGGGTTTGTCAGGAAGGAAACATCTAGTGTCCTGTAAAGCTGGAAATATTGTTAAGTTAAAAAAAAAATGGAGTACTGAATCTCACCTAGACCCACAGAGCATGGATGCATGAGCTAAAACAACTCTGAGAATTTCCACATACTAAAGAAACTACATGTTACTATTATAATGGTAAGCGCCTCTTCTCTTCTCTTCTCTTCTCTTCTCTTCTCTTCTCTTACATATTTAATTAAACACTTAAACTTTATGCACTTGATATAAACTGAATGTATATCAGTCAAGTAAATTTCACTGAATATTTTACATTTTACGTAACACAAATTACATGTAAACTTTACATGAATTCCAGATTTCCTTTTATGCTGAATAACTTATTTAGCAAGTGTGCTTGTACTGTCTTTGTGAGTCATCTCAGTGTAGTTGAGTTGTTTTTTGGGGGACACTACTGGCATCTTTTGACTTACTCACTGAATTTGTACTAGTTGACTTTATGCAACTGTAATATTATGTGTGTTTGCAGGTTTACATCTCAGAGATCTCCCACCAAAAAGTGAGAGGAGCTCTTGGCTCCTGCCCTCAGATCACATCTGTAATTGGGGCCCTGGTGCTCTATGCTCTTGGTAGGAACAAACCAGTGCTGGTGCATACCCAGTTATGCCAGCTTTATAAATAGTTAGCTGTATTTGCTAAAATTGGTTGTGCATCTTAATTTTCTTGCTTTAAATGGTATTCTCATATAAAACCGTGTTTTGTGATGTTTTAAGTAGTGTATCTTAAAAAAGAAACTGCCTCTCTCTTTTTTTGTATCCAATGGACAGGTCTGGTGGTGCCATGGAGGTGGCTGGCTGTGGCAGGCGAGGTGCCAGCTGTGTTGATGGTTGTGCTGATGGCGTTCATGCCCTCCTCCCCCAGAAGGCTCCTCTCAATGGGCCGGCAGCAGCATGCTGAGAGGGTGCTCCGCTGGCTCAGGGGAAATCAGTATGACGTCCAGACTGAGCTCCTTGCCGTACAGGTAAATAGGCAAGCAGCTGATTTACTGGGTTTCATTGGAGATGAATATGAGACACCTCAGTATACATCCTACAGGGTTCATAGACATTAACACATTTGTTGTAACTCCATTAATGCAGCACAGCATCGACACACAGCCCAAAATCACATGGTCTCAGCTGGGAACACCAACCTACTACAAGCCAATCCTGATCTCAGTGGGGATGCGTTTCCTGCAGCAGATGACAGGCATCACACCAATCCTGGTTTACATGGAGCCCATCTTTAAAAAGAGCAATGTCCCCCTGCCACCCAGGTTGGTGGTTTATTTCCCATGTGGATTTTATTGTTTTTAGCCTTTTGTGCTTTAATGATAATAGTAGTAAATGATACATCTAATTAATCATTTAAATTGACTTTGAAACTCAAGAATAATCACGAAACACATCGAGTTCATCTTTAAACTCCATATCTGTGTTTCTGTATCTGCCAGGTATGGTGCTGCCATCGTGGGTTTGCTGCGCCTCTGCTCTATTGCCGTGGCAGCTTTTCTGATGGACAAAGCAGGACGCAAGGCTCTGCTGTACACATCGAGCATGCTGATGTTTTTGTCCACTCTGACTCTCACCATGGTTTCTCACACCACACCTTGCCCTCCTGGCCCTGCTCCTCCAAACCACACCGCTCTGGACTACACCTCCCATAATGACTTTGGAAGCACTTTTATGAGCAATGCCCAAACTGCAGGGAGCATCTTGCCGATCATATGTACCGTGGTGTTTATATTTGGTGAGTTCTGAAAGCAACAGATACTTGATTATTTGTTTCTGGCAGTCAGTGACGTGGTAGTGAGAGGTGCCAAGGGGGAAGCTGTGAGTCTCCCGCTATAGTAAACAGCTCAGCAGCTCTTGGATGGACAAGTATGACACTTGGTACACTTGTGATCTATGGCTTACTGACCACATGGTTCTTCTCAGTGGTTCTGATTATAACAGGCTGACGAGTAAGGGATAGATTGTCATAACATTAGTTACAGAATGACTTGGACAAAATTTTAACTTATCGGAAAGCTAAAAACCTTGGTTTGCAAGCTGCATCCATAAAGTATTTGAGTGCGTCACACAGACATAGACTCCTGCTTATCAGTGTTAAAAACTCAACCATGCAGAAAGTCATATTATCTGTAAGATTATACACTGAAAGTACCTGAAAAATCAGTTCTGCCAATATGGTTGAATTTGCTATGGCGGCGCCAATGACTGTATATCAAAGATGGACTTGAGCAGTTTGGGGTTTTTTAGGTTGTTGTTTTTCTAGTGTCAGCCTCAAGTGGCCATTTAAGGAACTGCAGGTTTTGACACTTAAGCATCAGCTTTATTTTTCAGCAGCAGAGATTACTGCTTGGTAACAAACGCCATAAACAAATAAGTTAGCATTTAAACAAATACATGTATACTTTTATGGGTTGTAGAGGAGAAACTTAGTAACCTGTCAGGCATCAGAGGTGTTAAATCATCAGCTCTGTTACATTTAGCTCTTGGAGCCTCATTAACAGGCTATGACATTATATCCTCATAAAAATATGATGGACAAATATGTTGTCACACCTGCTCAGCTGAGAAAACCCCCAATGCTTTATATGTTGTAGCATTAGCATGCTGTACTGTGCTTCTTCCCTTCAGGGGTTTTGTTTTCAGACGTCGTTAATCACACCTTAAAGAAATGTCCCAGTCTGAACATCCTAAAGTATGCTGTCTCTGTGCTGTGCCTGACAAAGGGCGTCTGCTGCTTTCATTGTCTCATGATGTCATCTTCTTTAATGTGGGCTGTTAGCTTTATTATCATATTGTTGGTTGTCTCCTAGGATACGCCTTGGGATGGGGCCCAATCACATGGCTGCTAATGTCAGAGGTGCTTCCACTGGCTGCCAGGGGTAAAGCTTCTGGTGTGTGTGTCACCGTCAGCTGGCTGACGGCCTTCGGGCTCACGCACGGCTTCACACACTTAGTGGACACGTACGGCCTGTATGTGCCCTACCTGCTTTTCACGGTGGTGTGCGTCGTCTCCCTGCTCTTCAATGCTGTGTGCATCCCAGAGACTCGCAAGCGCTCGCTGGAGGAAATAGAGAACTACTTCAGGACGGGACGCACGTTCACCATCAACCGGTCCAGCTGAGGCCTGCATCAGTCTCATTCACATGATGTACTTATAAAGCAGGCATGGGGGTCTTAGAAAAATGATCTGATCTCAAACTTAACCATCATTAAGACTGATTTCAACTAGCTGAAAATAGTTATCACCAGCTCAAGTAGGTTTCCATTTAGGACCTTCATTAAAGGTCAGAGCAAATACACATAACTGACAATTTTAACAGCTACATTTTATCATATGATTACTTTATCATCTAATCATCTATTTTTCATCTAATTGTGGTAATAATTTTTATACACTAGTCTAGAATAATTACAAATTACAAATAATATACCTCTGATTGTTATTTTGTAGATTTATATATGTCAGACTTCCAGCACAGCTTGGAAGCACTACTGTATGATACACAGAGACGAAACTACTGAAACAATGAGCAAACAAAGCTCTAAACTAAACTTCCCAGAGGAAGTGGCCAGAGCACAGCAGTAGGTCCACAGAAACATTTACTAGAAAAAAATGAACAAAAACCTTCTGTTTTTAATCACGGGACAGTCTGATGTGCTTTTTCTGTCATTTTACAAATGTATTTCCTACAATTCCAGCCCAAAGAGTAATGTTGACGGCAATGTTTGTCTTATTACTGGAATAATTTAGACATACTGTTGAAGATGCCCTTCTGTTTTCTTATTAAAAATATCTGAGGGATTAAATGTGCATTTAAACTTCTTTACATTGGCATGAACAGCGAGTTTAAGAGGTCCAGCCCACTTGAGATCAAAGCTGGCCTGCGATGTAAAATGAATTTGACATTCCTGATTCCCCAAAAAAGTTGACCGGCAGAACGTCTGGCAAAGAAGAAGAGCACACTGCCACCTGGTTTAGTGCAGCAGTGGCAGGTGTGGTGCAGAGACATAGGGAAACATAGGGCAGGAACTCCACCTTAAAAAATTATTTTGTTCGTGGAAGAATCATTCTTGAAATCACACACACGGTCTGTTGGCACTTATAGAGCTCCGGCAAAGGCTTAAAGTAATAATAATATGTGGGAGCATGTGCATGAAAACATTGAAGCAATCAATAAGTAATCAAAGTAATCAAAGCATTGAAAAAGTGGGCTGTCAGCTAAGGGCAGAAAACGATGGCATCAGGCTGGATGTGACTCAGCAGGCCGAGTCACATGCCGCAGGGCGCAGTCAGTGTTCAAGGTTTGGGTCTGACTCACCGTCCAGTGTCACCACATCCTCCCAGTTTTTAGTAACATCACAGAAACGAACACACATGATGCTTTGCAAAGGTTTAAGGCGCTCTGAGTTAAGCGTGAACCTCTTCTGTGGAAGCTGTCTCAGTGTCTCCTCATGAAATCTCACATTGACCTCACTGTGTTAGGACCCAAACTCTAAGAGTGGGACACCGTAGGTCACAGGGCTTCTTGTTCTTCTTGTCATGCTGCAGGGTGAAATGGGACCAACCGGATGCTTCCATGAAGGTTGTCAAAGCATCTTAACTGCCTAACTTGAGCGGCCGTGACAAGCGATCAAAGAATGCTTGGGAGTGGTAGGGACACCTCGACACACGTGTGTGACACAGTGTGCGATTCTGTAGGGATGTTTAGAGCCGTTCAACACCCACATTTGCGAGGAAGGTTACAGGTGTGTTTAATAACTGAGGTATTGTTTTTTCCAATGCGAATGAGTCCAATTAGGTGACACATACGGTTTGCTCCTTATAAAATCAAAGAAAAGCTTTGTGGAAGCTGCTGTATCGAATGGTGCGAATCTATTGAGCTCATTTTTTACGTATAGATTGTAATTAAATCACTTATAGACAGATTTATAAGAGATGGCACACAGAAGGATTTCCAAGGAGGATGCCAACCTGTTGACCCTGATTCAACACCAGAACCAACACATGAGCTTGTTAGATGAGCATTCCTGGAAGAAATAGTTACAGTAACACTAAAGTCTTAACACACACACACACAAACCACAAAAAGGTACAAGTTCCTCAAGATGAATGGCCTCTTCGACGGCCTTTTCTTGCCTGCAGCTGAGGCGTTTCTATCACATTGTTTAACGTAAAACAATTCTATAATAGATTTCTTTATTATCCATATTTTGCATTTTATGAACTGTTTTTTGGAAAAATATACACAAAATGAACAACAAAATAAACATTTTTGTAGCCCTGCAAAAGTATCTCAGGCTTTCTTTTTGCACCAGTGTGTACTGTAGTTCTGAAACATGTGTAAGAATAATGGTGACCGTGTAGGGTTACATTTATTTGCTCCAGTCACCTCAGGCGCTGTGAACCACCAGTAACAATGGAGCAATTTATATTCCCTGTCTGGTTGGCGAGTGGTTATTGGAGGTTGATGGACAAGCCTCGGTTACACAGGTCTAGAGACCAGTCAGCGACTTTCCTGGCAAGCACCAGTCACCAAGGAAGAACATGTATTCCCCAATCAATTGGAGAAGGCTTCGTTGGGATTGCTTTGGTTGCTAGCAGATTGCCACGGTTGTATTTGGTTGTAGTGACTTTACTGCAAATATTCACCAGCTGTAAAACATGCAACGCAAACTGGAAACAGGGATCATTTACCTTCAAAGTAAAAGCTGCACCTTTTCAAAGATGTTGGCAGCAGCGCTGTGGCACAACTTTTTTCCTGTTTCTAGTTTGCGTCACACTTTTTCACCTTTCATTACCACTCTGCAAGTCGTTAGTAGACAACTTTGCGTCTTTCATGCAAACTATAGCTGACAATCTGCTAGCAACCACACCAATCGCAGGGAGGTTTAAATGTGTCTCACCTTCTTTTAAGACTTGCTGTACACTGACAGCAGTAATGTTATTTTAGGTTTTTATTATCATATGAAAATACATATACGTAATGGTACCTGTTGCTTTAACAAACTATGATTTAGACAAATAGACAAACTACAGTTCTATGATTGTACATTTGGTAAAATGTTTATTTGATCCCCAGTTGAATTTTTAAGTTTGCTCACTTACAAAGAAATCAACAGTCTCTACATTTTCTGGTAGTTTCATATTTTTGGGGAGAGAAAGAATATCAACCAAAAATAAAATAAAACACTCATTGTATAAACGTTAAGAATTCATTTGCATGTCACTGAGTGAAATTAATACTTGATCCTCAAATAACCTTTTTGGTCGGGGGTTGTAAGACGTTTCTTATAGTTGGTCAAGTTCGCACACATTTTTTTTACTTGGCTGCCACTTGACAACTTGAAGTTTCATCTCGCTCCACAGATGCAGATGCTGTTTCAGATTGAGGTCTGAAGACCAAAACCTTAATGTCATTTTTCTTTAGACACTCTTGTTGCCTTGGCAGTATGTTTTGGGTTTTGTCATGGTATCCATCTTCAGTGTTGAGGGAGTTTACTTGGAGTAATACTCAGCACTTCTGTTCTTCCAAACATGCCAGGTCAAGTTGCTGTCAGAGAGTTTAATTTTGCTTTCATCTCACCACAGTACTTTCTCCCAACCTTCTTTCAGTCATATATATGTTTATTGGCAAACATAAGTCAGGCCTGTACATGTGCTGTCTTGAGCAGGGGATCCTTGGGAGCTTGCAAGATTTCTGTCCACTATGGCCCAGTATGTTACCAGTGGTGCTCTCGGTGACTATGGTCCCAACTGCCTTCAGATCATTAACAGGCTCCTCCTGTGTAGTTTTGAAAGGTTTGGGATCATCCACCACCTTTCTCATGGTCATT